ATTGGAAGCAGAAATCGTTCCTGCTGAAGCGTTGAGAGAGGTAGGAGTAGAGTTAGAGTTTTGAGCGAGTGTGGTCTGATTAGAAGGTGCACTAATATTAATAGATGATGCAGCATTATTAGAGCCTTCAAAATGAAGTAACGAATGGTGTTTCCTAGAACAAGTTCTGCATGATACCTTGGAGGAGCAATCCCCTTTTGAATGGCGTGATCCTAGACAGTTGATACACCAACGATTTCGTTTGCAAGTATCATACCTAGCCTGGGGCGAGAGAGCTAAAAACTTAGGACAAATATAAATTTGATGTTTTGTTTGCATTGAGAAAAAACGTGGAAGATTGTCTGGAAGAACTATGTGGTGGTTGAGATTTATTTTTATTTTTGTGAGCGTCATGAGCTGATGGTCTTTTTTGAAATTAAAAATCGGCAGCATCGTAAGCGGTGCACTGCTTCAAAATAAATTCTTTTAAATTTTCATATGAGGGCAGTGCATCACCGTTACCTTCTTCTAACTCAAATCGCGTAACTGTATTTGAATCTAATCGCTTGAGAAGCATGAAGCATAATATAAAATCCCAGTGTACTGTCAGAAGGTTCATATTTTGCAGAGCTGCTACATTTTCCTCAAATGTATATAGGAGTTGTCTCAGATTCTTTGAATTAACCTGGTTTTCAGGCAATTTCTGAGCTTCATCCATTTCACGGAAATGAGCAAATGCAATAAATCTTCGATTGTCATAACGCTTCAGTAATGCCTTGTAGGCAATTTCATAGTTTGCAGAAGTTAGGGGGGTTGTTCTCACCAGAGCTAGAGGTGGGCCACTCAAAATAGACAATAAATAACTAAATTTCTCAATATTAGAAAGGGCTTCATTAGTGTGGATCATCGAGTTATATAAATCGATGAAAGTCCTGAACTTTGTGACTTCTCCAGAAAAGGTTGAAACTTCTAACTTTGGTAAGCGAACATGACTAATTCTAGGATTAGAAACTGACTGATTGAAATTATGCTCAGATTGGGACAGCTCCGTTTCAAAAATACTTTCATAAATTGCTTGAATTGCATAATAATTTTCATCAAATTCAGTTCTGATATGCTCATGTACATCCAAATCTGCATTATCCATAGTGGATAAGGTAGATACTAGATTATCATGTTGCTTATGGAAGTCATCGAATATGTGATCGATATGTTTAAAACGAGCCTTAAATTGGAGTTCAGCTGCTTCCTCCACAAGTGCCCTTTCAGCAATCCCCTTCATTTCTGACATGCGATTGATGTCAGTTTGACGGAATGCCGTGAGTTGCTTAATTTTATTTAAAGCAGCTTGAAGAGCCATTTCGATTAAAACTAACTAACTAACTAATGAAATAGAGAGAATATAAATTTAGAGACCGCACTGATTCAAAAAAATTCAATTCCACAAGAGAGAGAACCAGAACGAGTGTATATGACGTGAAATCACAGTGATAACATTAATTCAGAGCGAACAGCGAGAAAATAACACTAATAAAGTACAAGATAACGAAAAGTATTACTTGAGAGAAAAACTTTCAACGATGGCACAATTCATCAGTTATCAATGATGAAAATGTTAACAAACTTGGAATTTACGAACAATATCAAAAATAATAATTTTAGAGACAGAAAATGTGATCCGGCAACAATGTTTCCGTGAACTGAATGGGAGCCAGTGCGCGCCAACAAAAAGTGGTATATGGCAGGTAGGTTTTTTGCGCTCTTTCCAATTTTTAAATGAATGTGATTAAACCAGCACTGTTTTTTATAGCATGAAATATTACAATTAATGAAATTATCTATTGAATCGAACTTCTCTGTAAAAAATTGATGAAAGTTACTGAAAATGCACTAGTTCATTTAAAGAAATATAATCCGGATATCCGGTTTCGACGGACCATGACTTGAGTTCACCAATTTGAATAATAAGCAATTTAGTTCGATGGTAGAAAATGCTCACCTGGATTGCGTAATGTGGTTGCTTCGGGCTAGCCCTGGCTGGATACGGTGCTGGTTCACTTCAATGGGTTCACGAAGGAGTAAAACACTACAATTTTGGAGTTTGTTATGACTTAATAGGTTTATAAAATTTTTAGAGGCCGGTAGCGATATACACACGCGATGATGAGTTGATAATAATTTTTCTGTCCTTTTTCGGCGTTGCCAAGCTTTATAGCAAATTCTACCATATAAAGACGCGATAAATAATTTTAATTATAATTATTGAAGTTCGTTTCAATAAACTAGTACTAAATATTATTTTGAATTATTTCTAAATCAATTGAGAAACTACAAAACTGAACACTTGTTATATACCTCGTTTACTAGTTCCCATTCAGATACATCAGAAGTACCCTAACAACACGGGATCTTGCTGGTACATCCCGCTATGATTTCAAAAATGTCCCAATGTTTCAGACTTGAGTAAGATATCCTAGAGATGTCTCTTGAGACATCCATCAGATGTTTTCATTGGATGTTCTAGAAACATTCCATTTGATCTTTTTTTATAAACAATATCATGGTTCTATATTTGCTAATGATGATTGACATGATTGAACAGTTCAAACAATTGTGACATTTGAAACATCGAAAATTTGGTGAAGAATGGAAATCAAAACTGTATTCATACTCATACACTTATTCCCATATCAAAGCCGGCTAATATCATCGATAACAAATTGGAATATTTATACTAAACATTCCTCAATGAGATTACTAAAGTACCTACCTGCTTAACTTCATGAACCATGTAATACACGACAAAATTGAAATATATTTGTTATACCAGCCGATAGATGGCGGTACAACTACGTTGCTAAGAGTAACTAACAGCCGTCGGCCCAGCGCCAACAAATATGAGCCTCAAACAACTGTTATCATCTTCCATTAGTTATTGGACCGCACCGACCTTATATATTTTCGGATTCGGATTGTTACGTTATATCTGGAAAAAGGTCAACCATTTTCAGGATTTCAGATAAAAAATAATTCATACCCGTGTCATCCATTACTGCCATCAAACAAAAAACATCATAGAAGTTTCTTCAAGATGTTCCAAATCAAGTACCCTGAATGTCTCTGGTACATCCCGTATCATCCCACAAACATTCTGATGGGATGTTTATAAGACATCGCAAATGCTGACATGAGTGTTGCCAGAAACATCCTGAGAATGTCCCAAGGAAAATAGGGATTCACCAGAGATGTTCCTATCATCCCATATGGATGTTTCTACGACGTCCTACAGATGTTATTGTGTTATTAGGGTATATTACTTTACCTACGTTCTGACTCGTCTATGGTACTTCATGAATTCCAGGTCCTAATGAATTCTTGCTATTTGGTGGTTTCAGTTGGGATGAATTGAGAGGAGAGGTGTTTGGAATTGCTTGGGCTTTCACTGTTGCTCTCACGACTTGATTTTTGATTCTCAAGTGATTTAATAAATTTTTTCGCTTGAAGTTGCCTTTTCTCCTAATTTTACACCATTTATCTTCTTGTGAGTTCATTTCAACGTGAGTCGTTGTAGGCAAAAAAATACGAACATAATTATATATTATGGCATTTGGGTTTAACACAGTTCTAAAAAAAACTCGATAAATCCTATAGATTTCATGATTGACTTCGATGTATTCTTTGTGGCTCATTCGATAATTTCATTCACATATCTAGGATAATGCCATTAGGTTCCATTCTTGCGAAACCGGAGTGAGCTGAATGCCAAATTGTTTCATGTGATAGTTCTATGATAGTATCTCAAAACCTTTTAATAGAATTATATGGACATGAAGGCCAATTTGCTCCTTTCAGGGCATTCATAAAACGGTATATAGAACAATTTAGACCTATCATTTGCGCTCACATAACCTCTTCTCATCGAAGCAATTAGGAATTTAAAATGTTACTCAGGTGTATAATACACGATATTGTCAAAACTCCTATGACACATAACAGATAGCAAACGTGAACTGCCTATGCCTAGGCAGGAAAATTTTATTGGTATGCAGTATGCAGCTTCCCAAGTAATTGGGTGAACTCGAAATTATAATGTTTGAGATGAAAAAAAATGGTTAGATAACATTTGGCCGCATTCCCAGAATTGCTACGCATGGCTGTAAACTATCAGCCATGACGTTCAATCTACTACTCTGCTTCCCATCGGAACAAATATCTATTTTGTTTCATGTTAGTCAAACTCTACTATTATGCTTGATTATGTCATATTCATGCACTCAATAGGAATGAATGTGCTCAGTTCTGGAACGACATTGCTTTTTATTGGAAATTTTTCATTGATTATGAGAACAAAATATAAAGGTGATGAAAATTTCAATGGTGAAGGTATTGATTTCAATCATCATGTGCCTATACCAAGCATAACAACATGGAATTCTATTGTTCCTATGATTGTAGTATTCAATATTCTACTGATGACAGGTCCAAATCATGTCCATGAAAATAGATTGTGATAATGAATTTCACTTCACTCGTTTCATCATTTTCACAATACACAACTTTGAATCTGCAAGATAAGTACTTGTATCAAAAAATATCCGGTACCTATATCAACTATCATTGATGATTTTTGTGAAACTTGACTTACCATTCCTCGATTGTTCAAATGCTGAAATATGTACGAAACATGTTTACACTGCTTAACTTTGATCTGTTGACTGAAGTTTGTAAAGATACTTTTGGTGGGTTTTCGTGAATGAATAATCCAATTCTGAACATCAATATCTGATCAAAATTCGCATCAAGATCAAGAGATTTCATATCAATAAATCAACAATTCACCCACAGAAGGTTGCAAAAAGCTACCAATGGATGATCAACCATCTAAAAAAAAAACAAAATGTTTATGTTGAGGTGATCCAGATGTTATTGATAAAATGATTCCTTATTGATATGTGGATGTTATGATGAAATGTATTATATTATTGACATATCTTCCTTTTTGAAAATCTTCATTGTTTCAGGAGAACATCCTGCAGCTATGTACCATGGACGTGGATCACTAAGAAGGCTGTCAAAGAAGTTGGTCTCACTAGGTCTAGTTATTCTTCTGACTTTTCGATATCCCACGTAGCCGGAGGATCAAGAATGAACAAATTATTGTGATTCGAACAGTTTTTTTATACAATTTTGTATCAGTCCAAAGTTTTTTATATGTACTTTCATCATCATGAATAAGGAGCAATATCAGTTTCAGTACGTATCTATTTATAATAGAGTTCAGAAGAAACATGCAATATATCTTCTTCATTGGATTCAGGATGACGATGAATGTTTTCGAATTCAAAACATGATCTTATCAGATGTTTCCTGATCATCGATAGTTCTGCTCTTCAGTTATACAGTGTCATTCATAAAGTCAGCATCATATGGGATACACTTTTATTAATGACTTATTTTGAAATTCGAGTTGAACGTCAAGTTTTGCTTCAAAAAAGATGAAAAATGGCCTACTCAATCGGGGTCACGTGACTTTCGCTACATGTAAAAAGTGACATTTTTTCAAATCAATCGCTGAAAGTAGGCTTATTTGTTCGAATATCGAAAAAGTTTACTCAAAAAAAGTTGTTTCTATTTCAATTTTAAATATGTGACTCGGATTTTATCATTCTATTACATTTCTCAGATTTCGATATTTTTTGAAAATTTTCGAAATTTCTGTAATATTAGAAAAATTGTAAATTCGATAACTACTCCATACCAGTAGCTCCATCATGCTACTAATCTTCAATTACTAATTATCACTAATCATCGACAAAAATATGATTTTCTTCAGAAAATGATAATCTCCGCTTCAAAATTCTGTTATGTTTGATGCAAACATAACATCACAATGCTGTTATGTTTGAGTCAAGCATTTAGAAACGAAATTCATTTGAATTAATTTTTTCAGTACTGAAAAGATCAGTTTAAATGAATTTCGTTTCTAAATGCTTGACGATATATCAACTTTGCATCAAACATAACAGAATTTGGAAGCGGGTATTATCATTTTCTGAAGAAAATCATATTTCTGTCCATAATCAGTGATGATAAGTAATTGAAAGTAAGAAGCATGAAAAAGCTACTGGTATGAAGTAGTTTCGTGGAATCAACAATTCTTCAAATATTACATAAATTCTGAAAAATTAAAAAAGAAAATGAAAATCGTAAAGTTGCAATAAAAGGATCAAATTCTAGGAGCATGTGTTGAATTGTAGAAGAAACAACTTTTTCAAGTGAACTTTTTCGATATTCGAACAAATAAGCCTACTTTCAGCGATCAATTTGAAAAAATGTCACTTTTGACATGTCACGTGACCCCGATTGAGTAGGCCATTTTTCATCTTTCTTGAAGCAAAACTCAACGTCCCACTCGAATTCTAAAATAAGACATCAATAAAAGTTTTTCCCATATGATGCCGACTTTATGAATGACACTGTATATGGAATGTGTGCAATTTCAACCCGCGACACCCTCCTAATCTGGAACTCGTCGACCGTTTTTCATGAACAAAAATTCAATAATATAGTAGTCAACGAGTCCTTGGAAATGTGGACAAATGTTCTATTTTTTGAATCGACTCGGCCGTTACTTGATGGAAATCCATGACAAATGTAAAAACTCCACAAACGATAAGATTTTCACAAAATTCTCAAACACACGACATGTTTTGCTAACACAGTAGCTTCGTCAGGTGATATACTGGTATAATGAACTAAACTAACGCTGGCTTGCTTAACTTTTATATATATTACTTTCCCAACCTGAAGGATTAGTTACCTGTGGACAGGTACGATAAACCTCCATTTTCGGAAATTAGGCACAATATCTACATCAAATTACGGTATACCGGATCAACTTGGAAGAGTTAATAGCAAATGCATATTATTACTTACTAAATTCAACAGTGGTGAAGTATTGAGTTCTAATTGATCTTCAAGTGAAGTATCAAAATTTTTGAGTTTGTTGATTTCTGATGATTTAAAAGGACTGAAACTCAATCATTTTGAATTATTACCTCAGCTCATTACCTCAGTTTTTCACAAACCATTCATTCTTCTAAAGTTGGTAGATATATATTTTCACACAAGAAACACGAAGTGCTATTTAGTATCGATGCAATTTGCTCACGTTATTTTTTAGTTTGAAGGGAATATGTTCGAACAATTTTAGTTGAATGAAATAATGAAAAATGAGTCGATATGAAGATGCCCTATATCTCACTTTCTCGAGGATGCATGATAGAAATATATTTTCCTACAAGGAACTTTATCAACTCATAAAATGAATTAGACATGATGTGGAGTTGGGAGTAAATGTCATTTTACCTATATACGTTGAAAAATTCCCAGTGTCATTCCATGTTTCTCCTCCCAAGGAGGAGGAAAAACATTCCAGAAATTTGTTCAGTTGCTATGGTAACGATACAAAATACAAGCATTCAATTGGTCGGAGATGTTAGGTGTGGAATTTCCATACTTATCATTGAATAGAAATTTTTCATCTAAGAATATGATAAAGAAGATGTTTCATAACCAGTTGGAAATATCGGATTCACTCATCATACAACGTGTTCCAGAGTAGTGGTGATGAATGCTTAGGAGATATTGCTCTCAACAGATTATGAAAATGAATTTCGAAAATGCGTTGATTCTCAGATACACGGTTTCCAAGTTTGAAGTAAAGAGTTTCCTTTCATTATCCTGAAATTGCTTGGTTTGATTATGATGAAATCTCATAGATAATTCACACAATTATCAGACATGCACTTGATTGATCAGATTTGCTCCAGAATTTACAGAGGCGTATACCCATCGAACAAGTCGGCTTTTTTGTGGAGAAAAAGTCGCTAAATGTTTTCTTGGATTCTTCTTGATTATTGAGAAGAACCAAACAAAAATACAATATTTCTGTCTCCTACTATTTCTTCGTATTCTGCTTCGTTTTAGAGAGAAACTGAACAACATCGTTGTGAGTGTCTGTCTTCTCGTCTCCTCCATATAGGGCAACTAGACACTTGTCGTCAACTGTTGCGACTTCTCGGTGTGTGGCATATGGCTGGAGGAAAACTTTTGCTTGGTCTATTAAGGCTTGATTCTGTTCGAAATGGCCCCACATTTTCATCTTACCCTGCCAGAAGAGGGTAGATGTGGTGTCCCACCCAGTGAATGCATGGACGAACAGCTCAAACACAGGTGGTACTCCCAATTCCCCTCGATTGAACGAGCTGCTGTGGAACTGGATGCAACCCGCCTCATATCTGCTACTCTTCTGGAAGTAGACGTTCGATTTAGTGGATCCTAGACCGCAAAGGAGCCCGATTAGATCAACATCCTCTCCAACGATGATGACGTGGTCATTGGATGTACTTTTCGCAGAGCAGTTACAACGATATCGCGGTCTGCGTCTTTTCTTGCTATTTTTGTCTCAATCCCCTCGAGGGCAGAAGCAGAACAGAGATGTTCAAAGAGACGAACTTTATTTTTGTCATTTGGTAGCATCTTCTCTTGAGGAACTGTGATGATGGTTGATACGTCAGATACAATTTCCACTGATGCTGCAGAATACCATCGTGATTGCTTTGTAAATTTTGTGCTGTCTTGGGCGCCAACCTCAGGATACCCATAGCTCGAGTAAAGGCAGCGTAAAAAGCTGTTTTCGTGCCTTTCACGCAGCTCTTCGTCGCAGAATAGAGCCATTGAATATAGGAAATATCCCAGTACCCTCCTATCTCTTCACATATATTCAGCATAAATATCATCTCACTCGTCCAGCAGGAGAGCACACTTGTAGATATACCTCTGCCATGGGCTGAGCCACCCTGGCTCTTCATTGAACGCATCAATACTTGTTCAATTGTCAAGTCAGTCCGCAGACCTCACCAAAATTGGTGAATGTTCAAAATTCACTATATGCAACAAAACAGTGATTTGGTAGATATCTGGAAAAATGCGATACTATCTCAAATAGGTTTTTTCGAGATTTTAAGATAACTACAAAGCCTACAGACCCCACTGTACGCTCAAATTGAAGTGAATGAAATTTTGTACAACTTTCATCACATGAGTTTTACCTGAAGCATCAATATTTCAGTCGCAATTTTGATTTAAAGTAGGTCCAGAACTGATATCTCCACTTTCTGGAAAAAATGGGCTTTATTCAGGGTACTGTAGTTTCATTGATTATCAACTTACAGAGTTCTGCTCAAACATTCGATGCTCTCCAAGAACATAAATTACATTTTTTGTCGAAAACTGCATAGTTCAGGAGATATAGAGCAAAAACTGAAGAAAGTCCGAAAATTTCGTAGTTTCTCGTGTGCTACACTTCTTCCACAACTTTTTGAGAGTTGCAAAATAGGAAGAACACTACCCTGATAGGTTCAAAAAATATACTGAGAAGTCAGAGTTATATCATGTTTTGCGAATTTAGTGATTTTATGTGTCGATTTTGACTGGCCTATATGCCTGATAAATCAATGTCTGATTCAATCATTCTCACCAAGTCCACTCATCTATACTTGGTTTGTTTATCACCAATTATATGTCAGAATGATCGCGAGAGCTGCTGTTCAAAAATCTACTTCACACCTCAACAGCGACGATCAAGAAAGTCCAGATACGGCCTATCCTTATATGCTGCTCCTACATATGGTGGTACTCGTCTGATGCTGCTAGGAATATCTCTTTTGGATCAAACTGAACAATCATCGAATGAAATAGAGTGTCAAGCTGGTCCATTGGTTATCAGGCAATTTGCTCATATATATCGTAGATCTAGGTGAATCATTTTTTTTTTCATTGTCCTTCTGTAATCCACTGAATGTGTTTTTTTTTTGTCTCCCAATACGTGACAATATCGACACAACAAGTGTGCATAATGTTTTGTTTACATCAATGCAAGTTTGAAGATTCACTACATCAAACTGGTACAAAATACCATGTGTCAATCACGCGAAAAATTCTAATAAAAATAAATCTATGTTATTTTCTCGTCTCGTCGTTCATAATCTATGTGACTACTCAGTCACGCCATGTGAGAGGTGACATCACATGTCAAAAAAACGATATGGCTTCTGCATAAGATATGTTGTTGAAGTATGTTATTCTTGATATATTTTCATAAATCATGAGAAATGATGGTGTTATCAAATTTTCAACACTTGCAGCCTCTTTCTCACTTCCACCCTAGGACTCTCATTCCAAGAAGAACTTTTTTGTGTGTACCTATTATCTTCAAATTTCGAATGCG